GGATGCCAACAGATCCTATTACAACAAAGAAGTCGAGAAAAGAGCTAGCTATGCAGGTAGCAAAGTCTGGAGGGTGGGGTACCTGGGTAATGAATCGGATTTTGAAACAAGAGGTGGAATATATAAAAACAGGAAAGCTTCCAGCACCAAAGCAAGGGAAGCACATTAAGGTTGCAAGCTGGTTAACAGATGAGGGAACAATGCTTGCAATGCGTGAGTATATATCATTTGCTGGTGAAGGTATGCCTTTGTATATTTAATTGTTCTGAATTGTAATCAAATATCTAATAAGCAGTGTAATTTCCTAGCAATGACATCTGCTAGACTAGCACGTGCAGTAATAGCTTATTGGACAGCAACATACGAGGAAGAGCTGCTAGAAGAAGGTACCCAATTACCAATCATATCAGTTACAGGTATGCAGCGGCGAATTAAACGTGCTCTGTCAAGTCGATCAGCCCGAGCCTGGTTGTTAAAACTGGGACGGAATTGGAAGGAAGTGAAGAAAGGAATTTACAAAGATGGTCATGAGAGAGAAGACGTAAAGAGATATCGCCAAAATGTTTTTCTTCCTCGAATGGAATCCCTGAAATCTAAATTGATGGAGTGGGATGAGAATCTTGGTTCCATTAACACAGAACAACTTATTGCGGCTGGTACGAAGCCTGTTGTATTTGTCACACATGATGAATGCACATTTAACTCCAATGATGGACGAAAGAGAATCTGGATACACGAGGACAAAGTACTAATACGTAAAAAGGGTCGTGGTCAGGGACTACATGTCTCTGATATTGTAACTCCAGTGGGAAGACTGGGTGGAGGAGCAGTTTGTGAGATTTTGAAGTGTGGTGGAGATGTTTGGTGGACAGGAGAGTTGTTGTTGAAACAACTGATAGAGAAAGCAATTCTCTTATTCGAAGCATTCTTTCCAGGATGTCAGGCATTATTTGCCTTTGACAATGCTAAGATTCATCAAAAATATGCATCTGATGCACTTCAAGTTACGAGTATGAATCTAACACCTGGCGGCAAAAATACTCAGCCAATGCGGGATGGATATTTCATCGAGCCAGTAGAACCGAATATAATACATCAACAGTCAATGATGTTACCAGATAGTCGGTTAAAGGGACTGAGGATTGTGTTAGAAGAACGAGGCCTTTGGCCAGAAGGAAGAAGATTCCTTACTCAATGCTTGATTGCTGGAAATAAGCCTGGTGAAAAGAAATTAAATCCTGCATGCCGGCATGCTAGCAATGCAAATTGTTGTGCACGAGCATTACTTTCATCACAACCTGACTTCCAGGCACAAAAGTGTCAAATCCAGGAAGTTATTGAAGCTGCAGGACATCAGATTATTTTCTATCCTGCCTTTCACTGCGAGCTTAACTTTATTGAATATTTCTGGGGCCGTGCTAAGTTGTATACACAGGCTCACTGTGAATATACATTTTCTTCATTGGTAAAAAATGGTACCAGAGGCATTGGCCAAAGTTCCAGATGAATTGATCTGGAAATATTATCAAAGAACATTGCGGATGATGGATGCATACAGAAACAACATAGTACATGGTTCTGAAGACTTCAAGCGGCATGTTTATACACGGTATTCATCCCATCGACGTCTTGCAGAATCTGACCTTCATGTATAACTGTTTAATCTCTGTAGTTAATTTTTTATTTGCTAGTTTATGATTGCTTTTTGAACCAGCTTTTAAAAGTATTGTCTATCTTAATTACTTAATATTACAACTTATCATCAAATTAATTTAGCTTGAAATGATTTTTTAGACCTTATCCTGAAGTCTGCATACCAGAGGATAAAATACAAACTAAAGGACAGAAAGATTAGGGTACCCAGATTAAAGGGGTAGGGCAAAGGTTAAATACAGTGTTACGGTTGCCGTTGCAGCAGGAATCGTCACATTTTTGGTGTGAAAGTTGGTATAGTGACTAGCCTTCCGGAACCATACTAGTATAAGTGTTCCGTGGTCACAAAAAGAGTAACGTTGCCCCTGCCCTAGGAGTTCTACAGTATTATGCCAACGGGTCCAGAACCACACATTATTAAGATACAAGATCTTCACTCTATCCTTTGCTACATCAGCTCCGTGGCCTTTATTCTAGAGTGGTCCCGGATGTAACTCCCGAATGAAAGGGTACTCCGCCAAATATTGACCAAAAACTTAAAGTCGAGAGCCTCCATTAGTGCCCACACCCACCAGACACCAACCCCGTTGAGAATTTGTGTGGCGATAAAAGGAGTTATCCCGGTAGGTAATCTGGGGGAGTCGGGTGCGGGGTATTGAGAGCGTCTCCGAGGGATGCATGGGGGGCTTCTCGTTGGGGCAATCGAACGAAGTAACTAATACGCACCATGCCCGAACACACCTTAGTTAGGGAACGCAGTGGCATTGGAAGGGTCTCTAGATATGATCGTGATGGCGAGTGCAGACAGCGGGTATTCCGCAGGGGTGGAGGAATAACGCTGGTGTGGAGGTAGGATGTGTTCGACAAGTGGTCCATGACCCATTGTTTCTGCTACCTATCGAGAAAGAGAAAACATCCGCCACGGTCCTCCAAACCCTCATAAGAGGAAGAAACATACAAACAATAGTCACAGCCCTGCCAACCAGAATATAGCAAGCCCTTTATGTAAACCGTTGTGTCCCACTCACTACTGCCTGGGATTACGTCTCCATCAGATTGCTCTTCCCGTTAAACAGGCCGTGGTTGGATTTGATGTTGTATCACAGAAGCTAGATGCGGGGGTACTGCGGTTAAGGAAGGCACAGTCGGCGGAGGTTTCATCTGGGTCGTGGATAGAGATGGCTGGGGTTTCGGAGGAGTTTCTCCGGAGGGTGGTGTCCGGGATGAACGTGAAGGGGTTACTGGGATGACGAGTTCTCGGGTGAATCACACGCTATGGCGCACATCGCCGGATGAGCTACAAGTAATTGGAAAAATGTCCTATAACATCGAGAGTTACCAAAAGTCTCTGTTTTTCTTAAGAGGGTATGAGCTAGAGAGGTAGCGGCGGCTCTCAAAGAAGGACTACGCACGGTATTATGGAGAAACCGTATAGAGCAGGTCGGAGGAGAGGAAGAAAAAAAATCAATTCGAACTAAACAGGTTGGGATGGAACGGACGACTTGGTACTAAGGAAACAACAAAGCACTATCTGGTCATAACATATATAAGAAAGCAGAGTCCCTACTCTTCTGATGCGCCGAAATCACAAGTATGCCAAGCCTGCTAGCGTCATCGCAGCCGATGATCATACGGTACTCGGACTTCAAACAAGTCAATCAACGAACGTGGAAGTTCTACTCATTTTCCTTTTACTTTTCCACCGGCTGCTCTTGATCCGTGCTCTTGAACTGGACCTGCCCAACTTCTTGATCCGAACAACGCTGGGCGCTCTCCCCGCTCTCCCCGCTCGCTCCATCCCCTCCCCCCGTCAACCCCGAAAGCGGTCTTGTCTGAGGCGCTGGCGCAAGCGCACTGAACAACGTGAACGCAAACGAAAATACCCTACAACGCAAAACGGTTAGAATCTCCGAACCACCCATCAACCTCCGGCTCACTGCCACCCCCCCCAAAACTAAGGGCGGATTCGGAAAGAAACCCTACAAAATCACCAACGAAATAAAGAACCTCGCCCTCATTAGCTCACAAATCCCACCACGCGCCCTATTATCCCCAAATCCGCACTCGGGAAACGGCCCATCTGTATCGAACCACCCCTTCGGCTTTCTCAAGAGCCCCAAATCCGTCGCTTGGGAGACGTCAACCACCATCCAGAGGCAGAACTCTGCGAAGAACAGGAGGAAAACTGATATCCCGTAGAGCCTGCCGACGATGAAGAAGTAGTACATGTCGATCCCCACATGCATGGTGGTGACCAGGGAGGCGGTTAGGACCAGGACGCTTACAAGCGTGAGCCTAACTTAGCCTCGAAGAGAGGAAACAAGGGATGGAAGGGGAAGCACCTTATTGTATGCACACGTTGCGCTGTTTCTGCGATGCATACCGCAGCGTTTGCTATGGTAATAAGGATAAAGGCAAAGAATCCCGGGCGAATCGGGGTCCGGTTCCATTGCGGGTCGCTGCGGAAGTTGGTTCTCATGTCTAGAGCGGAAAGAGATCGGCAATATTTTTACTTCCTGACGATTCGCAAAAGCGGTGTCTCCTGGGAAGATGGAGGCGCGATAATCTAGGAGCAAGGTTACCGTACAGGCGGACTGCGCGGGGAAAGACGATGGTCAGGCATGCGCCTGGGGGGATGGTTTCTGACAGGCTCACCCCACCTTTTTTTGGTGCCCTGTGCGAATGGCTGGGCCGTTCAGCTCGATTAGGCCGGAAGCAGCCCCCCCGAGCTTATGATTGGCCGGCGGACATGATTGGTTTTTGGATGTTTCAGATTGCAGTTGTGTGCTCTTAGAGGTTACTTGTACTGTACCAGCGAACGGATTATTGGAAAAACCAAAGCACGGGATCATTGTACCGGCATCCGCTTTGTAAAGTATGATAATAGGGCATTTTAACATTTGATGGCCAGGTATAGTTCTCAGGTTGGTCAGTCGACCTATACCACACATGTGAAGAGTATTCCGAGAAACCATATACCCGACACCTAACAATTGGGGCTCGGGGGAATACGGGTAATTGAGATGAAAAAGCAAAAGGTTTGGGGTCCCAATCTCTGCGGAGATGACCTTGTTTAGATGTAGCAGTTATCAATACAAGACGTGTTAATGGCCACCCTGTAAGTATCACAACTCAAAACTATTAAACGAGGCACCGTAAAACTCTTGGAATCCACTATCGCTGAAACTGGGCGGCGTGGAAGTGAATCAAATAGCCGAGGTCTTGGATTACCCTTTTCCATGGGATCCACGATAATGAAGAATACAGGTCTTGAAAATCAGATCATGGATATAGACTATAGAACATAGAACACAGTAGTCCTTGGTGCCAGTACTCAGGATGCAAGCAATTACTACTCCAAGTTCCAGGATGCAAGCAAGCGCTACTACAATTTTCAGGAACTGATACCAAAAGTGAACCTTATGACCTAAGTCACATATCATGTGGATTTTATAACTTTAAAATAAAGAACATTTTTAGTCATATTGGTTCTATAATACACAGCCTATAAAGAAAAATTCTGGCACCACTGCCTCCCTCCACCCCATGGTCAGAATCTCATCAGGGTATGTTATACATTTCTATATAAAGAAGCTACAAGTGTCAAACCTTGGATTGAGTACTGGGTGCAAGAGTGTAAAACATTAATTACTTTATTAACCACTACTAGTAAACCTAGCAATTACAATATATTTATGTATTTTAAAAAATCTGAGAATCTCTTATCAGAAGGATATACAGAAATCATATTTTTTAAGAATTTACATTAAGGTATTGCATGCTCTGTACTGAATTACAGTAATGATATTATGTTAGAGTAGGGCTACAACTCAACTAATATGCCCTATGCCTGTATGGTATGACTGTGACTTCTTTTTTGCTTAAACTTTTACAAACAGGATCACTACTTGTTTCTATATCTTCAGTAATACCTGCATGATCATGCTGCATACCACACAGAAAATTTTACAATCATATTCACTTCGATTTCAGAAATGTTAAGGCTTTCAATTTCTCGAACCTCCTTATGTCCACTCCTCTACTCCCGTACTCGCATGTCTGTTCTCCGGCAATATCGTACAAAGCAGGCAACATCTACATCTCAGGACAAAGATACTGAACAGCAAATTTCCTTGAGTGGACACAAGCGGGCTCTAGCAGAATTGAGAGATGATTGCAAGACACACCTAGAAGATTTCTTCTATAAGCGTAAGTCTGCTCAGGACGAGGAGCTACAGGGCATCCAGGATATACTTGATATATGGGAGAATGAATATGACAACTTGTTGGAGAGGCAAAGCATGTATCTTGCAAGAAGAAAGCAACTTAAAGGGGTCTGAGAGTTGGAACAAGAACAATCTTTGAAATGGTGAGGTATTGGTTCTCCTACCTATAGTTCTTATACATTTTCTAATATGATTATAAATATATACTAGGCTATTTGAAATACCTGCAAGTCCGAGAGTGGCTGAGCAAAATACTAGCTTAAGTAGGGGTATAGGTATGATAACAAGGTAGCCTTTAAGTACCAGATAGTAACTAATATTAAACTTTAGAATATATTAGCCATTGGGCTAGGTGGGAGAAAAGGGGTAGGTATAGTGATGACAGGAAATTTGTAGGACACTAGTAGCAATAATTGTATACTACAAGTTTATAAATGTCTCTAATGTAATAAAATTTCAATTAACAGTATGGGTCTGTTTGGATATGACTGTTCTGTTCACATATACAAATTGTATTATGGTTCTACCAGGGAATAGTTAGGCCCTCTTTAGCATACCAGAAAAATGCTATTTTTCTGACTTTTGTGCCATTTTTCTATCTGAAATATTTTTAAAAAAGGGAGGTGTGTTTGGCATGCATATTAAAATGGAATTTTTTAAATTTAGTACTGTTTTTTTTTATAACATTCTTTTTGTAAAATATATAGATATTAGGGTATAATAGAAAGATAAAATATGGTTCTGGACATCTTAAGTATACTCTTCAGAATTTGTAATGGGGGACAGCTTGGCATTTAGCTACAATTTCAAAACGTGAACAGATGTTCAAGTCCTAGACTTAACAGTTATTTTTAATATGTTCAAGCCACGTATCAGTCATGGTTACCCAGCCAGAGAGACCGAATATGTATAGGGTTTTGGTTGTATTTATTGGCTGTGGTTTTTGTAGTTACCACGCAAAGGGTTTCCTTGGTATTTATCAGCAAAAATAAAAGCTTGTATCCTGTGCGTCCTGTGTGTCTGATGCACAGGACGCCCAGGATACAAACCGTTAATCAAGAGGCAAGACGGCAGCTACCAAATCTCAGAATGCAATGGTCCTTGGAGGCAAAACTTAGGACACTGCCAGAATGCAAGCGAGCCTTGGTGCCAAAACTCAGAGCGCAGCCAAAATGCAAGTGAGCCTTGGCGCCAGAACTCAGGACGCCGCCAGAATACAAGCAAGCACTACGGCAATTTATAGCATGCAATACCAGAATTAGACCTTGCAACCCAGGTCACATGTAGATTCTGAAACCTTTCAAATATACAGTATTTCTCATTATATTCAAGTTGGTTCTATAATACATGGTACAGAAAGAAACCATCTCCCGCCCAATCCTTTACTATAAAACTGGCTTGAACCACTTACCTGAAAGATGATAACTGCAGCAGCTTTAGAGTCAGGAAGCTGTTTGAGGTACTGTTGGAAAGCTGATGTTGAGTAGAATCAGGCTGCTGAGTATTCGACACTTTGCCGAAAGGACACCCATGGAATCTGGCATCAAAGTCAGTACTGGACCAGGGTAAAGACCACTTGCAGAACAGGCTGTAGCTCTACCAATATTGGCACTGGGTAGATGTCTGAGGTGCTGGTGGAAAGCTGACGTTATGTAAAATTGGGCTGCTGAGTATCGGCCGCTGCAGCCAAAGAACGCCTGGACAATCTGACATCAAAGTCAGCACTCTGCCAAAGCTCTGCCAAGCGAAATACCACTTTTATAACAGGCTGTAACTCTATCCATATTAGCGCCGGTGAGACGTCTGAGGTGCCATTGGAAAGCTAGTGTCAAGTAGAACCAGGCCGCCAAGTATCAGACTCTGCTTGGAAAGGGCACCTAAGCAATCTGGTATCAAGGTCAGCACTCTACCAGAACTCTGCCAAAACTCTGCCGGGGTAAATGCCAATTTCATAACAGACTGTAGCTCTACCACTATTGGTGCTGGGTAGACATCCGAGGTACTGTTGGAAAGCTGGCATCGTGTAGAATCAGGTCATCAAGTATCATATGCTGCGTCCAAAGGACACCCAGGAAATCTGGGACCAAAGTCAGCACTTGCCAGAACTGCACCTGGATACATACCACTTTCATAACAGGCTGTAGCTCTCCCAATATTGGTGCCAGGTAGATGTCCGAGGTAGCGTTGGAAAGCTGGCGTCAGGTAGAACCAGGCCGCCGAGTATCGAATACTGTGTCCAAAGGGCGCACAAGCACTCTGGCATCAAACTCAGCATATAAGAGGGGCTTCCTCTGTAACTGGATGTAACGATCCTATGTTATAGAGCTATGGTAACCTAAGTCTACGCCCATACATAAGACCAAGAGGTCTTGTGGTAGACCAGGAAGGTATACTGGAGTATGCCAAGGATATCTGATGGTCCAGGTATTCTGAAAGAATCGAAGGTAATTAAGGAATAGGTGTAACTAGGTAGTGGAATTAATGTGACTATGTCCACTCCGACTTAAGGATAGGTCGGAAGGCTGGGTGAGTTCACACTGTCTAAGGAGATCACGTTACTCTACTAGGGAGACTAGTTTCGTGTCACCATGGGCGTACTTACCCTACCTTGGAGACACTATTACCCTACCTTCCATGGGAAATGTTCTTGGGGGGATTCCACGAAATGTTAGGATTGTTTGTTACGCAATAACGATCAAGGGACACTTGCTTGCACACTGATTGGAAGACTACGGGAGGAGCTAGAGTGCTCCGAACATGCTGTAACTTGGCAGGATTATTCCTAACAGGTACCTGCGGCCCCAGGGTGCGCCCCGGGCGTCATAGGCCAAAATGGGTGGAGTTGCCATCTTACTAGTTAAATGGAATCAGTGAAGACCTGTCAATAACACTGTATACGCCAGTGCCATCCGTCCGACAGGAGGCTGTTCGCAGGATACATAAGGGGGCCAAGGTGAGAAGGTCAGGTACCTTCTCTAAAAAGAATGGAGTAAAACTGTTAAGAATCCTACCGAGTAGAACCTAGCGACAGGTAACGATACTTCTCTGTAAGATGATAGCTCTCAGGCTTGTGCCTACGCGATCCCGATAGTACAGTCCTATGACTACTATCGTGTTCGCGCCTATCCCCTTATTCTTCCTTAGTCCTCACTCAGGACTTAATCGTTCGACGTGGGAGGAGAAATAGTTTTCTTGCTTAAGAGGAAAGACAATTCTCGGGTTTCTCAAGATCAATCTTAAAGAGCGTAAAGGTAGGTTTTAATGATAATAACTTAAAGGTAGGAAATAAACAAGAAGAACGTGTGAAGAGCTCATACTCGGGGTCCTAGTGACCCCTTTATATAGTAGCTCTTCACCTGGCGTGACTCATACCTCGCGTCACGCGAACCCTGTGACTCATAACCATGAGTCATGTGAAATCCATCAGACGACTCCTATGAGTCGCTGCGCAACATGCCTAAAACCAATCAAAACATAATAACCTAGTCAGGTGCGCAACTTGCGTCACCTGAGTGAAACCCATGACTCATAAGTTGAGTCACATGTGAAAATCATAACATTGTGTGACTCACAACTGTAAGTCATGAACAGGTAAACATAATAACCTATGGC